ACGTGGAGTGTCCTTAATAATTTCACCAATAAAGTGTACTTTCTGGTGGTTCAGCAAACATTACAACATGAATAAAGAATGGGTGTGAATATAATATGGGTGTGAATATATGATAAGGGGCAGAAATGTGAATAACCAGTGAGCCTAATGAAAGGTATTGGGGCTGGTGGTACTGCTCAGCAGGTAAAAAGGCACTTGCTACCAAGCTTGAGGAAGAATTTAGTACCTGGAATCCACATGATATGAGAAGGGCAGAACTGACCTCTGCAAGTTATCTTCGAACCTCCACACATGCAGAGTGCACATGCATCCGGATACACACACACACACACACACACACACACACACACACACACACGTAATAAAAAATTAAATTGCCTCACTGTCTTTACCTACAAAAAAATGAGTCTATGTTCTTTTTATAAGTAGCATTCTTTGCCATAAATAGAAGGTAATTGTAAATGTTATTATTTAAAATAGTTTATTGAATTATAATTGAGTATTGTCTGCCAAGACTCTTGAGTCTAAAGCCTGCTCTCAAAGATTAGCAAGCAGTAAAGAGGTGTTCAAGCCATCCTAATACCAGACTGAGAGTTCTCTCCTTGACTCAATTGGACAGTATGAAGGAAAACTGAAGAGGAAGCAACCTTTTCATTCAGTGACGAAATTTCACACTTTGGGACACATCACATCAGGTCTAAGTGTAATGTTAGGAAAAGAAAATTTTGTACTGAACTCAGTTTGTTCTGCACTGAAGTTTTGTCATTGTTGGGTAATTTTGGTTACTCTGGATAGACTATGTTTAGCTGAGTAGTGTCTGGGTGTAGAGATGCTATGTTGCAGCTTTCATTGTTACTGGCCTCTTGCTTTGAATTTGTTCTTGTGCACACACACACACACACACACACACACACACACACACACACACACGCACACGCATGCACACGCATGCACTGAGGTCCTGCTGTTACTTGGAAGGAAGGCCCTTGAACAATAACAAGATCCAGATCGTGTCTGCCTTGAGTTTTGTTATCCCCATACAAGACTCAATTGAATAAAACATATCTCCCATCTGGCCTGTAAACCTCAGTGGCACTCAAAATAACTTACTGGTTAACAAGTTCTTGGATCATGGTATCTTGAGTTTTTTTTTTTTTTTTTTTTTTTTTTTTTTTTTTTTTAAAGTTCAACTTCTTTTTAGCTGTTGCTAAGGGAAGTTTGGTTGACACAAGGGACATGAGGACATGTCTGCATATTGCCAGTTGTTTTATAGGCACTTGGCTCTGTCGCCTTGCAGATGGTAATACTTTGGGTGGTGGGGAAATGTGTGCTGATTATCTTATTGAATTAAGGTAACCTTTTGTTGTCCACCGAAGTCTGCAGACCAGTTGGGCAGTGAGCAGCTGCTGGGGTGGCTTGTTTTGGGGATTTGAGAAACACAAAGATGATCTTCAAGGGTGGTCATTGTAATCTAGGTATCCAACAAAGCCATGTTGAAAGCGTCTAACCCCTCTGACACCGTTTCATGTTCTCATGGGAGGGAATGAACAACAGAAAAAAAAATCAACTTTTCTTCAATTATACTGACTAATTAAAATTGATTTATTATTTTGCCAAGTCCTAGAAAATCACCTTACCTAATGTAGTAAGTCAAAGACAATACGCTTTCATGATATTTGACGCCAGAAGCATCCTAACTTTATTGCAGTCTGTTGAAGATGATGGTGAAATAACGGAATTGTTTTTATTTTGAGTTTATTATCAACTATTCTAGAACTCAAAGCTTGCCTTACTGTTACCATCTGTTTGCAAATTCTAGCTGTAGAACTTTGGGTTTTAGGGTTGTTTTGCTTGCAGTCTGCCACTTTTATCTGGAGTCTGCTCAGTCTGAAAGCTATTTCAGGAGGCTGCTGCTGCTGCTGCTTCTGCTTCTGCTGCTGCTGTTTTTCCTCTTCCTTTTCCTTTCCCCGCTCCTTCCTTCTTCCCCTTTGAAGCAAGGTCTTGCCTTATAGACAGTCTGGCCTCAAACTAGAGATGCTCCTGCCTCAGCCTCCTATTGCCTGGGAAACCTCACTTTTAAAGTAAGGGGATAATATTTATTATTATTATTATTATTATTATTATTATTATTATTATTGCTGCTGCTGCTGCTGCTGCTGCTGCTGCTGCTGCTGCTACTACTACTACTGAAATTGTATGCCTGACTGCCCTTCTTGGAGAATTTTTCTGGAATTGATCCGTTTGGTTCTTCAGAATGTAGTAGTATAGATGACCACATAGAAAATGGGGTGGCCTGGTTATTGTCAGAGAGAAACCACTCCATGGTGATTGAAGAGAACATTCATCTATCCAGTTGGGTCATTTCTTGTGCCCTAGGATTGTGCTTTGGATTGGAAGTTTACCTTTTCTTTCCTTCAGATGTATCTGCCAGTCATGATCCTGTCTGCACGTATTTATGAAGCACACATTCTTCTGGGCAGTGGAATTGGTCTCTTGCATATGCTTTTTTATTGTATTCTCATAACTGTGAGGTAGGTCTTACTAGCTCTGCCTTAAAGGCAAGAAAACATCTCCCTAGGTGGCTCAGTGGCTGTCCAGTATCTCATGCTAATTAGGGCTGAGCATATGGAGTCCAGGGCTCTCAGAGTCTAAGGCTTACACTTCCTACTTTTCTGCTGCTGTCTAATCATCAGACTTCCTTCTTGTCCACATTGTTAGAATCAAATAAGCTCTCCTTCAGGGCTTCAGAAACTATGTCCATGCTAATCTTACTCACGGTGGAAACAGTAAAACATGTAAGAAGTGAGTGTGAGTGCATGTGTGCACATGTGTCAGAGACAACCTCAGGTGTTGGTCCTCACCTTCCACCTTGTTGGAGACAGTGTCTTGCTGTGAACTGCTTTGTACACCAGGCTCGCTAGCCAGCAAGCTTCTGGGTAGTGTCCCATCTCCACCTTCCATCTTCCTGTAGGAACTGAGATGACAGCCACACACTAGCATGGCCATTCCTGGCTTTCCCTGGGTGAGGCTCCTGTCTTCCTGCCTGGAGGACAAATACGCTTACCCACTGAGCCATTCCCGAGGCTCTAATGTGTCAAACACTGTCTAGGATCCCACCAGCTGTTTTTCTCACCACCACACACTCTAGTTTTGCTTATTCCCTTCCAGACTTATCTATAAGTCACAACTGTAGTCAAAGAATACATGTAGCCAGTGAGCATTCGGGGTTGTGCAAAAATTACTCTGGCATTTTATAACTATTTTCTATTTTAAATGTAATGTTTCCTGTTTTTGGAGGTATGTTTTCAGTAACCCAATCTGACCTTGAACTCCTCAAACTCCTGGTCCTTTTACCCCCATCTGAGAGACCTCATCTATAAGGCTGGCAACATACCATGTGTATTTTTAGTGCCTCTCGCAGCCTGCCCTTACATTCCCACGTGTCTGATTATTTTGCCACTTAAGCCCCCTCCCCCATGAAGAAAAGGACTTTTTGGCCACCTCTCTTGTATGAATACAAGTTGTTGTGTTATTTGCTGGCTTATTTAGAAACAGCCAGACACGTTCTTGTCAAACTTGGATGGATTTTGGAGGTTGTATTTAGGGTGATCAGGAGACATATGTCATGTTTTCTGATATGCTGTCAGAGTTAATGTACAGAGATTTTTAACATGAGGCCTAAAATTGAAATTCCCAAGAGCAGACTTTGGTTTGCATGTTAGAGTTGGATAATGTTTCAATTTGTCTTCTCCATGTCTTAATTAGGATGAGTGAAAACAGGATCTTCTGAAACGTGGTGGTGTGTCTCCCCATCTGATAACAGCCAATTTTAAATGGATCCATTTGATAGTTTTCATTTTGTTTAAGATCAGTTGTTTGTTGAAAAAGGCAGTTTCAGTTGCTATTTCTTTTCTGTGAATTTCTTTTTCTCTCTGGCCGGGAATGGAACCAAGGCACCGTGCACGCATGCTAGGCAACCATCCTACCCCGAGGTACTGCGTTCCCCAGCCCTCAAAGCCCTTGTTTTGAACTTGAGGGTGGAAGTTCAGCTTTTGAACGTACAGAACAAGTGGACTTCAGTGTGATCATCCCCACTAGTGTCCCCTCCCACTCGTGCAGGCTCTCTTCTGTGCTCAGTCCCCCCTTTGCCCTTCTAAGGACTGCCTTTCCCGTCACCCAAAGAAGCTTCTTATTTCTTTCCCTTGCTGTATGTGTTTACAAGTAACCCCATGTTCTGGAACCTGTGCTGTGTGTCATTAAGCTGTCCTGCAAGGGCCAATGCATGGCCCACCCCAAACTCACTGTGCTGGAGAAACTGACACTAATGTTAGCTAGGGCCACAGCTCTCAGGCAGGCCTTCATGTCCTAGCAAAGCTTGGTATCCTGTCTTTGGGAGTCTCTGAGCCTCCAGTAGTTTCTCTTCCTCTGAACTGCTGTAGCATCGTGTTCTTAATTGTCTGTCTTGTTTATTAGTCCAGTTTGTGACTCCAGTTTAGTGGACCTTGACATTCTAGGCTGATTATAAGTTCCTTGGCACTAGAAACTCCGTCTGATCCTTAATAGAAAATCTGTTGTCCACACTGTCTGCCAATATGCTTTGTGGGTACTTAAGACATATTTAATTCAATTTTTAAAGTTTCATTTTATTGTATATGTATGACTGTTGTGCCTGTGCACGTGTGCACACTTATACACGCACGCACGTGCACACACACACAAACACAATATCACATGTATACCTGGTGCCCAAGGAAGTAGGAAGAGAATGTTCATGTATTTCATCTCCTGAATCTGGTATTACAGGTGGTTGTTATACTTCAGGTGGATGCTGGGAACCAAACCCGGGTCCTCTGCAAGAGCAGCAAGTGCTCTTAACTACTGAGAGCCATCTTTCCAGCCCCAATTTAATTCAGTCCCCTCACCCCCAAGAAACAGAAAACACCTTTTCCTATCAGCCCTCAGACCAGCGGGTAGAGGAGAGGTGTTCCTAGGCGTAGTACTGCAGGTTGCCTTTCTTCTTGGCCTCTATCTCTAAGATGCCCTCCATGTAGTCCTCGCGGGTGAGCTCCATTGCACCCCTGCGAAGCACAGTCATACCTGTCTCCACACACATGGCCTTGCACTGGGCCCCCAAATATGGAGCGCTTCACGAATTTCCATGTCCTCCTTGTTCAGGGGCCATGCCAACCTCTGTATCCAATCTTAGTGTCTGCCGAAGTGAGCACTTGTTTCAGTTTTTAACGTAGCAGCAGGTCTCAGGGTTGGGAGGGCCTGCTGGGTCATGGGCTAAGCCAGGGCTTGTGCAGAATTCCCACAACGGCCATGCAGCGTGTGTCGCAGCTGCTGTGATGGTGGAGCACCTATCTGTGCCCCCCAACAGCAGCATTTGTCCTCTTTAAAGACGACGACGACGACGACGACGACGACGAAGGTGCCCCTTGCACATTGTGAGCTGCTCTCAGAGTCCACACCAGCTGACAGAGAACGGACGGGAGCAGAGTCTGGACTCGTCGCTTGGGTTAGTGACATGGAGGAGAAGTTCCCCATGTTTATCTGTGTGCCTGATTCGCTTCCTCCTCACATCTCAGGAGCCTGCTGTTGTCCTTTCTTTCTAAAATAACTGCCACCCACTGACTTTGTTAGGACATCCTGTCCTCTCAGATGAGCCAAAGTGGCCGGTGGGTAGGCATGATCCCCACTGACCTAAGAGGAAGTTGAGTCCTGGAGGCAGTCAAGGCCACAAAGATCAGCATCCAGTTGTGTTTTCTGACCAGACCTGGCCTATCTGTGTAACTCCAGGTTTTCTCTTTAGGATTGAGGACCTCTTTCCCAGCCTTCTAATAAACCTGCTCTTAGTAATCTTGGCATCTTACTTGAAGGTGAATGGTAAACTTGATGTGTGGCCATACTGTCCTGAGCTGTGGCGAAGGGAGCTCACGGACTACACTTGCCCGCACGGATCCTTCATCATGAAGCTGTTTGAGTGACCATTCCCTCTCCCTGCCTCCTGCCTCTAATTCTTCCCTCCACTTGTTCAAACACTGAGCTTCCACTCGGGACCATGTGATTTCATAGAGTTCATGTTCAGGATGTGATAGGTTTGACAGGAAGGAAATAGACAGTGATCAGAATGTGTGGCTTTCTTCATGTACTGGAAGGCCCAGGGTGAGTCCTTGAGGAGGATTTGGGAGGTTTCCAGGGTCCAAGTGGGAAGGGCTTAGTCAGTGTGTCTGAGGAAGAGAGAAGGAGCTGATGTGGCCATCACCGAGTGGAACAGGGGCGTACAGTAAGTAGCAAGTTAAGTAAGACTGGGGGACAAGATGACTGGGTTTGTATTTTTAAAGTCATGGAGAGGCATGACAGCTAAATGAAATAGGAGATTGGGGGTGGGGGCTATATATAAACAGTAGTACAGATTGAGCATCCTTATCTGAAGAGTCAATGTTGGAAATGCTCCAAAGTCTAAAACTGAGCTGGTGGGATCTATCCAAACAGTCCAAACCCCCCACCAAAACAAAAAACTAGTCTGAGCACTCCTGGGCCTGTGTATTTCACATACAGCAAGTACTCACCCAACTCCATATTGGGGAAATTGCAAATTTGGAAAATTAATGTATTCCATTCATGGAATGGATATTAGATGCCCCAAGCTTGATGACCCATTTTGGATATGAAGGCTTTTTTAAACTTTCATTTTCGCTTGTTTATTTTTGAGATTGTATTTTAATTCCAGTGTTTGTCACTTCCCTTTCCTCCTTCTGAACCTTCTCATAAATCCCCCTCCACTCTCTTTCAAATGGCCTCTTTTCATCAGTGGTTGTTATATAACAACCCGAATATAACCTTTTAGGTCCATGTAATGTTACTTGTATGTCTGTTTTCAGGGCTGTTTGGGGCTGGACAACTAATTTGGTGTATGACCTTGTTTATTAAGTGGGGTTAATTAAGATAACAGTCTTTGCACCTTAATCTCAAAAATGGAGGGAAGGACAGGAGAAGTGAAAAGTTAGGACATGATTGTCATAATAGTCGTGCAACTTTTTTTTTCTTTTTTAATGTTTCAAGTTTCCCTAAATAAAACTTTTTTCTGAGACAGGGTTTCTCTGTGTAGCTTTGGAGCCTTTCCTGGAACTCACTCTGTAGACCAGGCTGGCCTCGAACTCACAGAGATCCGCCTGGCTCTGCCTCCCGAGTGCTGGGATTAAAGGCGTGCACCACCACCGCCCGGCCCTAAATAAAACTTTTCATATTTTTGACATAGGGTTTGACCTTAAACTCAGTGTCATGAAATTACAGCATGTACTGCCAAGCCTTGTTTGTGGGGTACTGAGTATCAAACAAACCCAAAGTTTCATACAGGCTAGCCAAACGTTCTACCAAGTGAGTTATATCCCAGGGCCTAAAATATGTTTCTTTAAGTTGCCTTCAAAGATGAGAAGGCTCTGCAGGGTTATTGTAGAAGAAATCTCTGTTGTCATGATATTCTGTAGTCCAAAGGAAGCAAATGACAGCTTAGCTGGGTGACTGGCGTTGGCTATCCTGGGTTGTCCTCGGTGATTTTTTTCTCAGCCATCCTTATAGTCACTCCCCACGTTGGTTTTGTAATCAGCAAGTAAAGAGTGTCTGGTAGGGTAGAGTTAGCAATGTTGCTTGTCTTTGACGATACTTCTCTGATCAAGATGTAGTGTGTGTGTGCATGACTTCAAGTCAATCTTGTTTGTTTAGAGTAGTTTTCAGGTTCATTACAAATTTATTAGATTTCCAGAGATTTCCCATATATACCCCCTGCCTGTCAAATGTACACAGCCTCCCTTATTACAGCACTTCCACCAGAGTGATTGGTTTGTTACTGATGAACCAACTTGGAGACAACATTAGCTCCCGAAGCACACAGTTGCCATTAGCCTTGTTTTTTTTTTTGTTTTTTTTTTTTGGTGTTGTATGTCCTGTAGATGTGAGTTAAAGTTTTTATAGTTATTTATAATTTTGTATGTTAATGTTGGATAAATAAATATGACACAAGCTAGATAGGGTAACACACATCTATAATCCGATCTCTTAGGAGGCTGAGGTAGTGGGATTGAGAGTTTGAGGCCATCCTGGCCTGTACAGTGAGAACTGTGTAAAGTAAAGCACCACCAGCGAGCAAGAGCTTGGTGCTGCTGTTGTAAGGAACCAGTTCAGACCCAAGCTGTGGATTCCGGGTCAGTGCAGCAGAAGTAAAGAGCACAGCTGGTTGGTCATCAGGCTGGTTTGGCTAGTTCCCGGGGTGGCATATCAAACAGCCCGGAGCAGCGAGAGGACCTTCATGGTGCTGTAAAGTGACCCTAAAATAGACTCCTCAGGCGTTTGACTTGCTGTTTCTTGGTCGTGTGTCTTTCTTTCATTTTGGGGATCAAAACATGGTAATTCTGACTGTACTGCTGCGTCTTCACGCAGATGGTTCCCCGAAAGGCCTCACTTAGATTTGACAGATGAAATCTTTTCATTCCCAAGAGCAACTTTGTTAAACCAAACCAACCAAGTTCAAATCTCTAATTCCTATTCCTTTCTTGTGTGTACCATTTTATTCATGTAGAATAAACACACGGCCTCAAACATCTTACAAGGCAAATAGACTCCTTTTTAATTAGCGGCTCTATATACAGAATTTTACCATCATGAAATTTATAAACCAAAAAAGGAACAAATATTTACCCTGGTAGTTTCATGTCAACATTGCCCACTAAGAAAAGCTTAGAATATGTAAATGAGCACCGCTTCCCCCCTTAAGTCATGGAGGTAGAAAATTGGGCTTCAGCTTGCTGTTCTTTGAGCATACATGCTCTGTTACGTACGTACGTGTAGCTTCCTTCTTGTGAACTGATCATTTTCACATGGACTTGCTTCCAAAGCTAATACTCATTTTTCTTTTCTTACTAATTTTTAAAAATTATTTTTATGTATATGTGCATGGGTGTATTGCCAGAATCTATGTTTGTGTATATCTGGTAACTGCAGAGGCTAGAAGAGGTGCTATATCCCCTGGAACTGCAGCTACAGATGGCTGTATGGGGCTGGGAACCAAACCTGGGTCCTCTGGAAGGAAGAGCAGCCAGTGAGCCATCCCACTAGCCCCTTATTAGAAGTTCTTAATTAGTATGTGTTAATTATGCATAATAATGGACTTTGACATTTCTATTATACATGCATATAATAATTCCCAGCTAATAATCTCTCTTCTACTTTCATGTATTTATTTATTTGTTTTTGTGAACCAGTGGTTTTAGTTAGGGTTACGTACAGGAACTGAAGCAACTTTCTATTTGATACTGGAAAAAATGTTTGTCTTCTTGCAACCATTAACTATAACTCCCTGTAGATCTTCAGAGAAGGGTGAGCTTTCCTGAGACCCTGTCTCCTCTCCCTTCATTGTTATTTCCCCGTTGCCTTTGTTTGCTTGATTGTTTTTTGAGGTCTTATATACTCCAAGGATGTCTTGAAATCCTTATGCCTTCGAGGATGACTTTGAACTTCTGATCCTTCTGTCTCCACCTCTTGGATTATTAGGCTTGTGTTACCACACCCAACTAATAAGGCACCGGAGAGTCAAACCCTGGCTTCAGGCATACTAAGTGATTACGAGATGAGGGATATCCCTAGCTGCTTTTGTTAGTTTTTGTAGTATTCTTCATAAGGCATCTCAGGTACCAAGGGAAAACTTTTTTTAAAAAAAATACTTACTTTTTAAAATTATGTGAATGTGTATTATGTGTGGTTATGTGCATTTGAGTGCAGGTATCCATGGAGACTAGGGATGTCAGATCTTGCTGGAGCTGGAGTTGGTATATAGGTGGTTGAGAACTGCCAGATGTCTGTGCTGGGAACCGAACAAGAGTGGTATATGCTCTTAATTGCTGATCTGTCTCTTCAGCCCTGGAAAACATTTATTTTAGGGGTTAGCTGCTTTATTATCATAAAGAATAGTTATGCATTTAGGTAGACCTTTTACGACCAAGGCAAATTAAGCAAAGCACAAGACGTTTCTGGGAACAAAATAGCAAAGAAATGAAATTTTTGTTACGGTGAGGGCAGTGTGTGACAAAAGATGACTTGAAAAACAAAACGTTTAAGCTTGGGAGCT